GCTGCAGCTCCAAGGCATTACCAACTTCTTGGAATGCAACTCAAAGTATAATGAAGACTTGGTGTGTGTCTTCTACACAGGCATCCATGGCAGGTTCAGCAGTCAGTTCTTTCATTCTCAGGTCGGCTCTACAAAGGTAAACCTAAACTCTGCTGTGTGGAGTAAATATTTCAACATGCAATTAGCTGCTGGTGAAAATCCTCTTCCTAAGGTAACTGATTCTCAAACTGTGCTTGGATATGAATTCAAAACGGCTTTAAATTCGATGTTAAAACGGCCGTATCCAGAGAATATTTTGAATAGTGATGCATTTCCGAGAACCGCCACTGCAGGGCAATTGCAAACAGGTGAGCGAATTCTTCAGTGGATTGTGGCGCGCATTCTGCGGCCAAAGAAAGGAGGGCTCTCCAGAGTAGAACAGGCTGAAGTTCATCTCATCTACATTCTGAAAAATCAAATCAAAATTAACTGGCCCTACTATATCGCCAGTCGAATGTTCGCGTTACGAGACTCCACAAGAGGAACTGCTCAACATATGGGTCATTCATTCAGGAAGTTCTCGCAGATGCTGATGTTGTCTTTCCAACATTTCCATACACATCCATCTCTTCAATGATGGGATACTATTGGTTCCAAGAAAGAAAAATGTACGGTTTTGTTCGCAGAGCAACTACACCTAGAGTGGTTGAAGCATCTGAAGGCAGTGAGGAAAGTGCAGAAAGTGACGAAGAAGAACAAGAAGAACCTGAAGAGGAAGAAGAAGAAGAACCCGCACATGAGGCATATGATAATCATCATCAAACTGAGTCAACTGAGTATACGACTACCGATTGGGTTCCATACACAGCTCAACCTGAGGATGAAGAATAATGCAATAATCAAGCCTAGGGTGAGTGGCAGCACACTGGCTGGACCACTCTGGGAAAATATTATGATCTGTATCATGGATATTCTGAAGTACCTCAATCTCCTCAGCAATTCAACAGATATGACATTCTCAGCATGATGCAGTCCATGTAACTGGAACAACAAAACTTTATGCGCACTCAAGATGAGAGATTCACTCAAATTCAAAACCAACTCCAAACACAAAATGAAAGGCTCAATAACTTCTCCACCAGAACGGACGCACGGTTTGAGGCTCTTGTTACATCCCATGAAGCTCAGAAAAGGGACATTACCAACAGTTTGAACTACTTGAACAACATTACTGTGGAATTCACTGACTTGTCCGATCCTTACCGTCATCCTCATTACTATGAGAGGGGAATAGGGCGTGGCCGTGGGCATTAGATTTCTGTGTGCAATTTATGTTATTTTGTTTATGTTGTTATGTTGTTATGTGTTTAAGTTGTTTGGCTTGTTATGACTATTTGGGTTTTCTCAATGCATTTTCTCTCGTTTATCTATACTATGAGTATTCGTTGCGTTATTTTTTTTCATTGTCAATATTATGTGTGAATATTGGTATATGATTAGATATTACCTGTTAATCGTCTTGTTGATTTGAACACTTTACTCTTAATCGTTCTCTTTCTCTTTTTGATGTTGTCAAAGGGGGAGAAGAGAGTGTATCAAAGCCAGTTATTTTTGTTGATTGAAAGTACAGGATTAAAAAAGAAAGGGGGAGCTTATGCTACCATGTTTGTAATATTGCATTTTGGTCTCATTGGCTTCGCACAGGTTGTCATCATCAAAAAGGGGGAGTATGTGAGGACAAACCGTCATACAACATACGATCTTGAGTTTCGATGATGACAAATTGCAACCATGGATGAATCGGCATTATCGGTTCTGCCTCTACAAAGACAAATGCAAATATTCCATCCACCATATCCTTCTTATATCAATTAAAGTGATTTACTCAATATAATATATGTGAATGATATGTGGTTATTACTAAATGCATAAAAACCACATAAATAACAATTTTTTGCAAAATTTCAGGCCATGAGTCGACCGCTGAGTCAGCGCATGTATCTGTGCATTTTCTCACGGGTCAGCGCATGAAGACTATGAGTCGACCGCAAGGTCGACGCATGGAGCTTAAATTTTCTCACGGGTCAGTGTAAGCCGACCTATGGTCGACGCGCACTGCTGGCCTTTCAAATTTATCCAAATATGCAAGCTATGCGTTGACGCATAGACCTGCTATGTTTGAAAAGCTGTTAAGTTTGTTGATTGGTTGGTTACTATATATAGAGACTTTGTTCATTTTTATCAACAACAATTGTGAAGTTGAGTCAATTGTCATAAAACAAGAAAAGTGAAAGAGGTGCCATCAAAATTCATCAATCTTCATCTTTTACAACCCACAACACAACAATTACACACAATAATTCTTGGGGTGCTTGTGATCTTGTTCAAGGTGATAAGGTCCGAAGTCGTGATCGGAAATCCGGTTCGGGTTGATTTTGAAGGCAGGTTTTTCTTGGATAAAACCTAGCAGGTTTTGCCCTCCAAGATTTGGAGATTTTGGGGGTTTTTCGGTACGAATCATCTCTACCTACTTCAGCTGAGTGAAGGTGATTGAGAAGCGGTAGTCTTCGTCAATCTAGTAGTGGAAATCAATGAAGCGTTCAAGAGTATTCCGGGTTCGATTTGTTTGTGCGTGAGATCAGCCGGGCCGAGGGTTTGAAGAACGGAAGGTTATTCAACAAAGAGGCTGGAATCGGAGGTCTACTCACAATAATCGGAGAACTTGATTCGACTCGAATCAAGGAGCAAGAAGCGATATCATCATCAACATCAATAGGGCTTGATTGTATATTTTTCTTATCAATTCTTGTATAAACATTTCTACATTACAGGTGATATCTATTATATTGATCTCAATTCTATTATTATAATTGAGGGCAGATGTACCCCGAAGCGAGGACGGCGGGGGAACTGCCTCAACAAATCTTTGTCTCTTTTACTTTTTAACATTTTCAGTTTTGCCTTAAAATTTAAGTGATTTTAGTATAAGCAGTTATATCATAATTTGAGTTGATTTGAGTAAGTACTTATTACTATTTTGAACTTTAGTGCAACAATATATTGCACAAGGAACTTAAAGCAACTTACTCAAGCTAAACCACACTTGGAGTGTATTGCACTCCAAGTGTTTGATAAATTGCCTACACCAAAGTTTACTTAGCTCATTTGCCTACTTTGTGGGCATTATAGATCATTGGTGTTAGTTCTACTAATAAGTGGTAAAATCGACTGATAGTGTGACTAGTGTGTTGAATCAAATTTTGCTCATTATCATTTCCATAAGGCTAGACGCATATCCGGTCTTCTAATAACGGTTCGTTCTTAGACATGATTTTTCCACGGCCACTTTCGCAAATTGAAAACAAATATTTTGAAAAACCAATTTTTAATTCGTAGCGCCGATTGATTTTAATTGGGATCTATGTAAGAGTGTATGTGAAAAATTATGAGAACAAAAGACTATTTATTGAAAAAATTAGTATGATGAAACACAGTCAATAAAAAACGAGATATATAAAAATTGACCAATCAGAGGATATTATGATACAATATGATGAACCTGTGTAGTTTTTAATATTTTTGACAATTTTTTATATTAAATAAAAAAGAAAAATGAAAATTAATTATTTTAAAAAATAAATATTAAATAAATTATGACTAAAGTAGTTAAATTTTTTTTCTTAAGATTAACTATGAATTATCTGTTGATTTTGTCGCTGCAATTTTCAAATTTTTCAAATTTTCTTGTAGTGTCTATCATGCTCTATTTAGATTAAAATATTATTTCATTATAAAAAAATTATGACTCATTTATCCGTCTAATTTTTAAGAAAATGTGATTTTGATAGTCCACGCACACTACGACACAATGAAAATACTAGTGTTTGGACCCAAAAACCCCCAATCGAACCAACCCACAAATGAGATTTACTGGCTCAATTTTTGACCGAATTAGTGTTCGGTTTTTCGAGTTCAGGTATAAGAACCGATTAATTTCTAGTTCAGTTATTAATTGAGCTAACTCAATTTTCAAGCCCAAATCCAAAATTCATTAATTGTTTTAAACACTTTTTAAGGGTTGACCCTTAATGGACCTAATCAAAATTCTAGCTCATAAAATTTAAAACAGAATTTATAAAATTTGAATGCGGCATAGATTGGAAGATGAAAGATGAGATTTTGGGAGATCAGAATGCGGCGTAGATTGGAAGATGAAGGATGGGATTTAGGCTTAGACAAAGATAAGAATAGAAAAAATGAAATCGTGGACTTAAATTAGGTTGGAATAGAAGGCCCAAAAAATATCATTGAATTTGGTCGGATTCGGATACCGACGAACCCAAAAATACAAGCCGATTTCGATCTATGTAAACCGTCCGAATCCTTTTTAACCACCCGACAAACCAACGACCTGAACTGAGCCGACCCAATACTTCAAAAAACACATAGTTTGGATCGAGTTCGATCGGTTGATGTTTTCATGTCCCCTCTAAAAAATAGTCTGATTAATGATTGTTTCGGTTATAATTCAAAGTTGATTCTCTTAAATAATTTGTACACAACTGAACTTCATTAATAATCTCTAAGAGTAGGCCTATTGATGAAAATTTTGAAATTTAAGAACGTGTTGCTCGTTTTGATATGCTTGTCCATACAATTTCCAAAAAAAAAATGAAATTCATTAATCATTGAATATCATTCATAATGTCTACCAAGAAAAAAATACATTAGAATATAATCCTTCATTAACCCACAATAACCAGTTAAACTATTTCTAGATACAATAATTAATTTTTTGATCAAATTTAAGAGATTAAATTACTCCAAATAATAAAAAATTTGAGGAGAATAAAGGTTGCCACAATCCATTGTTGTTTATTCAAGCTTATTGAATTCTTCAAGAACCTGCCAAGTATATACGAACCATGGATAAGATAGGATATGATATGATACGATACGATAAGAAAATGTACAAGTGATTGTTAAAGTTGATGGAGTAAGTTATTGAGCATACCTTAGAATCAGTTGTTGGTGTTAGTTTTGTAGCGAGGAAAAGGAACATGGCCATGCTCAATACGTTGAACATCTTGTTTGAGGATTTCATAGTGAGTTTTAACATCTTGAACTGATTTTCCAACGACATTGGCAACATTGTGCCATCTATCAGGAGTTTCTCTATCATATAAAGCTAATGCTTGTTCAAAGAGTTTGTTCTGCCTTGCAGTCCAAGATGATGTCATTTGTTGATGAATGAATGAAGATGTGAAAATAAGAATAATATTTGAAGTGAAGGGAAGGTATGAGAAAGAGAGGAGTAATAGAGTTCCTTATATGCAGGAGAAAAAGTGCATGTCATGTTGAGGAAGGAATAATATATCTTCCAAAATGACACTGAAGATAACTAGAGTGACTTGTTACCTTATGAACCACAAGTGACAGCTAGCTATCTAGTTGAAGAAGTGGAGGAGATTCTAGATCAAAAGACATGAATGAATGAATGCCTTTTTATATTCTTCAAAAAAAGATTATGGTGAGATGAGCTCGACTGCTCTCTATAATCATGCTAGGTCTTTAGCTTCATCAAGAGCAAAAGTTAAATTCCTAATTTTTGGTGTTTTAATTTTTTGTGTATGTTTCAACTCCTTACTATTGAATTTTTCTTCATTTTAAAAAGAAAAATTATCTTATCGTGTATGTATTAGTTCAATGATAAAACTTTATCTATTTTAAAGTTAATTATTATGTTTGTTTGATATTAAATTATGGGTAACTTATGTTTTAAGGGCGTGTGTTAATAAACATACAAACAAAAAGTTTGTTTTAGAAAAAACAATAAGATATTGATATGAAGGATAGAGTTCTTAGAATTCCAGGACTAAGAAACCTTATTAAGAATAAGAGAAAGGAATTTGAGAATTAATTAATTTATATCAGAAATGGAAAAAATACGATTCTTATAAAAAAAATAATAACAAGAAAATATATATAAAAAAAAACTTAATTATAATTTTGGTCCTTTTATTTTTATTTTTTTTAATTTTTGATCCCCTTATTTTAAAATTTAGAAATTTTGTTTCCTTATTTATTTATTTTTTTTATGTTTTGGTTCTCCTATTTTAAAATTCGAAATTTCGGTCCCCTTATTTTTAAATTTTAAAACTTTTGGTCCCCTTATTAAATTAGTTTCAAATTTAAAAGAGGATTATTATCGAAAACAAAACTTAAAATAGGGGATCAAAAGTATTAAAAAAAAATGAAAAATAGGGGGACTAAAAATAAACATAAATAAAAATAGGAGGACCAAAATTTTAGATTTTAAAATAGGGGGATCAAAATTATAAAAAAATAAAAACAGGGGAACCAAAATTTTAGATTTTAAAATAGAGGGATCAAAATTATAAAAAATAAAAATAGGGGGACCAAAATTGCAATTAAGCCAAAAAAAAATATTAACAAGAAAATAACAACTTCCACAAAATAAGGGATGATTCATTGCACCATGTTACCACTAAAACCACTACAATTGTTTGGTTGCAGCTTCTAAAAGAATGTTCATTTGCACAACTCATAATCCTTCAATTTGAAAGGTAGTTGGACTTTTCTTTTGGGCTTAGCATTGGGCTCCCCCATCACCAAATTCTTTCTTATCATTGCATTGTGTCATAACAATTCCTTCCTCATCAAGACCAACCTTGTCCTTAAGGTTGTAAATCAAACTTAACATGTGTCATGGCTCCCATGAAGTATCATCTGGGGAGAGACCCTTACATTGCACTAGGACCTGAACTTGTAATTTTCCATCCATAACTTCCTCTAAGTGGCTAGAATTTCCAAGGAAGAGATCAATGGATTATTGTCAATAAATTATGAAGGTAATTCATCTATTTTAGTAGAGGATGGTCCAACATGAAGCTTCAAAACTGAACAATGAAACACATTGTATATCTTTGAATATGAAGGTAATTCTATCTTGTATGCTACCTTGCCTACGCGCTCAATGATTTGATACAACCCATAGAATCGCTTGGAAAGTTTACTGTACTTGGACCCAGCTAGAGAAATTTGACGATAAGGGTGTAACTTTACATACACACATGCTCCCACGTCGAAATTAACTGCATGCCTATGAACATCAACATCCACCTTTATATTGTTCTGAGCCTTAACCAAGTTCTTGCAAAATAATGCTAGGAAAGTGTTCATGTTACTTAACAAAAGGTCACAAGCATCTACAAAAGAAGACCTAATAACATATGAAGGAATTGATGGATGGGGGTTTTCCAAACATGGCATGGAATTATCATAATCAAAAAGGGGGAGATTGTTAGAACAAGATTTGTTCATTCCTTTAAAAGGTTTTTATGATAACAAAATATTTAAAGAACTATATGGTTTACTAATGGTTTTTCAAGTGTGCAAGATCTAAAGACATTAACTTTCATATTAATCAATTTAATCACTCAGAAGAACTATTGAAGAGAAACAAAACTGTTCTGAATCTGAAGGATCAGAACCAAACTTTTAGACTCTAAAGAGTCAACTCAAGTCTTTCACATGTTGAACTTAAGCTTACTTGGAATATAAAGATCAACATAGCTCTTAAGACTAAAATTGTTTGAAGCAAGCAGACTCTGTTATAAGGAATGACTCTGCATCTTCTAAACAAGCTTCATTAGCAATTCTGAAGATACTGCTTCGAAGGAATTTTTATACATCAAGTCATCAACTCTGAAAGTGATCATCCAGATTAGTTCTGATCAAGACTTTGATGAAGGCAAGCTCAGAACTTGTGAACTCAAATCTTATTCCAACCATGTTTTGAAGACATACTTTAGCTTCTGATCATGCTTTAACTAATTCTATAAAAAGCCTCTGATTCAGAAATCTAAGTATAAAGATAACAATGACTCTAAGCAAGCTTCAACAAGCTTCAACAAGATGTCTTCAATTAGAATTTATCCAAAAAGATCATGTGACTAAGGTACATACTTTATGTCTAATCAACATAAAGTAATGCTATCTGGATCTTCTCTCTCCAACTGTTTTAAAGTCTGTAATACTACTTTCAACATATTTATGCTAGCTGAGTTTTTAGCTCACTCTATTTCTCACCAGCTAAATACATTCAACGACTATATGTACCATGGTAGCTTCAATCTTCAACAGATCTATTCTCAGTATCTATTTAAAGAAGAAGATTAAAAACATTCATAAGACTCTTGAAGCTCTCGTACATAAGAGACCTCTCTAGAGAACGAGTGTGAGTTGAAGATTTCGTGATTGTGTTTACATGGATGTGATACTAATTCACTGAAATTAGTTGAGAGAATTTGTGTTACACATAAAACACAAATGAGAGAAACACACTTCAAAAGAAAATATAACCAGAAGGGTTAAGTGTGTGAGATCAGAGTGAGACATGTTCACATATATTCTTAAAAAATAATATGTGAGTATGATAAAGAACAAGAAGACAAAACAGGATGGAAATCTATGCAAGGAGAGAAGAAGAATGAAAACTTCATTCTTTTACACTCAGGAGAAAAAAATTCATATTCTACTCAAGAGTGTGAACCTTTGTGTATCTGTTTATCCAAGAAGTGTAACACCCCAATTTTTAGTAATTATTTATTTATATTAATTAATTGAGTGATTTTATGCATATTTGATTTAATTGAATTAATTGAATCATTTGATTTAATTGATTTATTTTATTTGGTGAAAGAATATGTGGAAATGGTAGAAATAAGTAATTGGGCCTATTGGATGAGAATATGAAGAGTAAAGATGGGGGTATGATTAGTAAGCCCATTAGTTACTAGAATTAGTTGTTATAAGGATTTTATATATAAGAAGAAAAATAGGGTTAATGAGGAAAAAGAGGAAAATAAGTTATCATAGAGAAAAGGAAAAGGGGAAAAGAGGAGAAGAAAACCTAAGGAGAAAACTCAAGAGTTCATCAAGAAACCAAGGTAAGGGTGAGTCTTTACATGGTTATGAGATTGTATGATAGTGTATGATTGGTAGTAGTATATTTAGGATAAAAGTCCCTAATTTCCATGGTGTTTGTCATATTATGATTACATGATGAATTTGTGTGTCTTATATGTGTATTCTTTTTTTTGAGAATTGAACATATATCCACCAATTTCAAAGGTTTTAGGCATAATCTTAAAATAATGATTAGATGGTTTAATTGTGTTAAAATTGTAGACTTACTTGAGATGATTATAGTGTTGGATGGGTTGTAATTTTCTGAGAGTTCAGATGTTTACGGATTCGAAATCGGAGGTCCGGAAAGCCTACAACGGTGAAAAACGTAGAAAATTATGCATGTTGTCCATCACGGCTGTTCATGTTTTCGGTCGAATCGTTTTGGTCATAGCTTTTGATCCGTAAATCCGTTTTGTCCCGCTTCGAAGCGTTGGAAAGCTAATAAACAAGGCTATAACATAGTATAGATAAGAAAATTGGTTGCCCAATATTTTCATATCTAATATGTGAAGGTGAGAAAATACTTAGAAGGGGGGGTTGAATAAGTATGACAGAAAATAATCAAAGATAAAAACTCAAGTATTTTTATCCTGGTTCGTTGAACTCAACTACTCCAGTCCACCCTTTTCAAGAGTGATTTGCCTTTCTCAACAAGGACTTAATCCACTATTCAAATCAACTGATTACAAATAGCAACACCTAAGAACAACTGTTCTTAGTCTTCTCAAGAGCTACTGATCTAACCTAGATCCTCTTAAGGAAAACTTCCTTTACAAATTAATGTAATACAATGTAAGAGTAAGAAATTGCTTCTAATAAAGCTATAAACACAACTGTGTTATTTCTCTAAGTTTAGAACAATGTATGAACAACAAAGAATATGAGAGCTTGAGAGTTTCTTCGCTTGAGAGTAAGTTTGTCAATTTTCGTCTCAATGTTCGTCACTGAAGAAAGTGCTATGATATCCTTTATATAGCCACTTGAATATTGGAGAGAATATTTTACCGTTGGAGAAGATATTTCCAATATCAAATAGTACTGTCCTTTGTACTATTGCAGCAGAGAGACGGCGCACAAAATGTGGGTGTAGCAATTGTCTGCTGAGCTGTGATTATACCATATATGGAATGTACCAGAGGAATAATATTCTTGCAGAGAATTTTGTCTATCCCAATTAAGGAAAGATTTGCTGGCATATTCCAACGGATATATTAAAATAATCTTCTTCAAATAATTCTTCAGATAG